CAAATCAACTTCTACAAATTTACTTGAATTAACATCCTATATCTCAAACGCATTTAGTGAGAGCAAAACTGTTGATGTTATATATACTGATTTCAGTAAAGCATTTGACAAAGTGTGCCACTCGTTGCTCATCTATAAACTTGATCTTCTTGGTCTTCCACCTAATTTTCTACGTTGGATCTCTTCATACCTCTATGATAGATCACAAAGGGTATTGTTTAAAAATAATATCTCTGACGTCATTGATGTTACTTCAGGAGTCCCTCAGGGTAGCCACCTAGGCCCGATTCTGTTCTTGCTTTTTATAAACGATATTTCTACAGATATAAAATTCTCCAAAATTTTAATGTATGCAGATGATGTAAAACTTTATAAATCATACGTTTCAATTGAAGAAAGGTCTTTGCTACAATCAGACTTAAACAGCATGGCTTACTGGTGTAAAGTAAATCTTATGCCTCTAAATCTTAAGAAATGTAAAGTAATGTGCTTCTCGCGAAGAGCTGTTCTGCCAGTTTCTTATATAATAGGTAACCATAACCTGGAACAGGTATACAATTTTGTGGACCTTGGTATCACAATGGATCCTAAGCTTAATTTTAGTCTTCACATTAATGTGACAGTCAACAAGGCTAAAGGTGTACTTGCATTTGTGAAACGATGGTCAAAAGAATTTAGTGACCCGTATATCACTAAAACCCTGTTTACAACATTAGTTAGGCCGATTCTGGAATACGGCTCGGTGGTTTGGAAACCAAGGTATCAAATTTACTCAGACAAGATAGAATCAATTCAAAAACAATTCCTACTTTTTGCTTTAAGAAATTTCCGATGGGATTCTCAATATAGTCTTCCACCTTATACGAGTCGCTTAAAACTTATTAACCTTCCTACACTTGCCAGTCGCAGGGAAATGCTTGGTATAATTTTTATGGTTAAATTACTGACAGGCTCAATTTCAAGTCCGTCTCTTCTGGCTGATGTAAGCTTTAATGTTCCGTCACGCGTATCAAGACACTTTTGTCCCATATTTCTGAAAGCTTGTAAAACCAATTTTGAATTGCACGACCCACTCCGTTGCTTATGCCAGGATTTTAACTCTCATTCCAGCACGTTTGATATATCAGATCCGCTTTTCAGCATTAAGAAAGCGATACTCTTCTCTCTCAATAAGTGAATTATTGACATAAATACATAAAATCAGCTGATGAATTTAGTTCTGTAGCTGAACAGTTTTAGATCTCGACACTTAACAAACTCCTGCCTATCGTGACTCGGCACAAAAATTTAAAATATTGGTTCCGTACGTCATGCGGACTGCGCCCCTCGTGCGGATGGGCGGGAATGGAGGGTAAAAACCGTTGGGATATTATTATTATTATTATTATAAATTACTTTTAATATGAAGTTCACTTTAAATAATGTTAATTAGAACCCGGTTTCTCTCTTTGTGGGAGGAAGCAAACTTTATACTTAAGATCCTCTCAGTTGCTTAGTTTGAGTGTGGTATTGAAAAAAAATAATAAATTAAAAATTACATATATTTTCAAACTGTGGAACAGTGTTGCCAGAACTTTTTGGACGAATCGTCTAAATTGGCAAATAAAACCGGCTAAAAACGGCTAAAATGTTTAAACTAAATTTCACATGATTTATTTAAATAAATCACCGGTAAAAAGACTATTTCTTGGAGAGAAGTTACAAATTCGAGCCGGAAAAAATTTTGCCAGCAAGAATTTGCAATTAGGAAAAACATATGATTGTGGCACAAGGTTGGATTTTTTGTCGACGATAATTTGATTAAATAAGTTCGTTAAATTTACAAATTTACAAACTGGAGCGATTTTAAAATGAAAAATCTAAGTTAATACTTGTTTACTTAATTAATTTAGTTAATTCCAATGATTTGAAAGGTACTCGGCAAAAAGAAACTATCTATTAATGTTACTATCTGATATTTTGAGTGATAATTCTCGCTGGATTTTCGACGAACAAACCTATTGTCTTCCCTACAAGGCCTTTTCAGACTGACCGATTCTCAATACACTCAAATAGAAACCAATACACATAAAAAACGCTGTAAAATTTCCCTTCAATTTTAAGGCAGTAAAACAACGACCTTAAGTTAACATCAACCGAGGCCATATGTTGACAAGGGGTGAAAAATCACAGTTAGACAAAAGAACTGGTCAGATTTTTCAGAAATCCCTTCAATTCTGATGTAAAATATGACGCCAAAATACTGCAGATCTCCCATTTAGATGACCGGTCATATGACCGGCAGATGTCTCGTAGGATTCCCAGAGGGTTTTGCTTTACATAGAAATTTGTGCTCTTTTATTTTCATTTTGACTCACTTCAGTGTTGGTTCCTTTAATTCAAGTTGGCATTCGGTTTTTGGAAATTAAATAAGTTCTCAGCAAAAAGTTTGTTTAAAAAAATACATATGTGTACATAGTGCTTGAAAATATAAATTTTTCCCTTACCTTAAGCCTTTGGGAGTGGGCAAAAATGATGTTTTGTAATTTAGGCAGAATTGCCTATCTGGGAAGACAATATCTACATGTAATAATTGTTCTGTTTGTTGGCACTATATCCAAACACAAACGCATCTTAAGTGTCTTAACAGTGAAACAATTTCTTATTTTCTAAATTTGCGAATATAACTTCACACTTAAAATTAAGACATTTATAACAAACATTTTATGAAGAAAATTCCTTCTTCGTTTAAAATAAAAATAAGCGAAATCGGGCCAATTTCATACAACCCCGCCTGACATGAAAATTTTCTCCACGATAAGTAGCCATTTCTAACAGATTTTGGGTCGTTTAGTCAAAAATGGAAACATATATACAAGGCAAATAACTAAATCGGCTAAAACGGCTAATTTTTTTATTCAAAACGGCTAACAAATCGGCTGCCGGCTAAATCGAAATTTCTCCGGCTGTTTTCTATCGCAACCGGCTAAATCTAGCCGGAAAACGGCTAAAATGGCAACACTGCTGTGGAACAGTACCACTATTTAAGGACTTCATCTAATAGTGAGGAATCATGCCTTAAATAAATTTTTTCAACTACGCAACAATTTTGAAATGCTCAGAACTCGCTAAAACGAGTATCTAACTCTATGTCTTGTATGCAAAACTCTTTTACAATGTCAGTAAACTGGGTAAAAAGAGTTGTAAGTTATAAGCAAAAGCCATTCGAATACTCAAATTTGTTGTTATTAAACTGAAAGTTATTTTCGAGATAACTAGCAACACTCGCAAAAAAACCTCTGCCTTCTTTTTAAAAAATTTAGGCTCCATCATATTATCGCAACTGATACGTAACGACTCGGCGGTATGCCCATAAAACGATGGAATTTTTTGTTGTATTAATTTCTTGGGCATATAAAATATTATCTGAAACATGTCAACTATAATTAAATTACTTGTTTCTACTTTTTACAGTACTGTTTAACGAAGTTCCAACGTTATGTAAAAACCTTAAGAAAATCCTAAAGCATTTTGTTTGAATTGAAAATTCAGTACAAATCAGTACAAATTTTGAAAAATCAGGACATTAGCGTACTGATTGAAGAAATGAATAAAATCAGTACAAGAGTTGAAAAATCAGTACTGTACTGATATAATCAGTACGTCTGGCAACCGTACTTTCTCATCGCCCTCTTCTAAGGCACGGTGCACATTAGCGCGATACGATATGCTATGCGATATGCGATACGATACGCGATACGATACGCGATGCGACATGCGATGCGGCACGCAATACCATTTTGTGATAACTACACAAACTTTTGTGTCCTTATAAGCTTGTTAATGAGTTAAATAAGTTGCTTCTCAACCGAGTTTAGACCTTTCGAATGATGGGTCTATATTTATATCTATAAACTTTTAGAAAATTTAAGAGAAACGTATGTTTAATATCGAGTAAAACTGATATTTATTTTTACAAAGTCGGCTAAAAATTAAGTGAGATATTCAAATTTTCATGACAAATTATTTCAGAATATTGCTTTCACTACAAGGAGAAATCGGTGAAATCTGAATTAAAAAAAGAAGATTAGCAAACATTTTTGAGTTGTATAGCCAAAAATATTCTTTTTCTTATGAAAGGTTGAATAACTTCCCCCGATTTTTTAAAGTAAAAATAACTATATATTTAATGTTAATTTTGCATCAATTCAGGGGTAGTAAGTTGCTTTATAAAATAGAGGATAGAGATAAGGGAAAAAACATATACACTGAGGGAAAAAAATTTCAGAATTAAAAAAAGTGCTAAATAAAAAAAAAAATACGCATATGAAAGAGCGAAAGAGCGACCCAAGTCGTTTTAAATTTGAGTATGTGCGTTATAAAATATGTGGTTGTGAAGTGCACAGATGCTTTTTCGTAACTAAGAAAAAAAATTTAATTTTAAGTTTCGTCCGATGGGAATTGAACCCGGACCCTCTTGGCTGCAACCAATTGTATTAAGCGTCTTTGCATACTCAGCTACAGCCATACATGTAAACGTGCTTTCAAATGTTGAGTTTGAATCAACATCATAGCGCGCGATTAGTGCATTATGTCATACCATGTATGTGTGTATGTGTTGTCACCGCTGTGCATGCTTTTTATCCATATACTTTCTTAATTACATATGAAAAAGCATCCGAGACGTGCAAAACGCCATCCGTGCAGTGAAAAATGCCTCATTTTAATACAGGTGTATTTGAATTGAATACTTCCATTATACGTAGTGTATGTATAATGGAAAAATCCATTTCGTTAACACTTTTCACTAGATTTAAATACGAGCATTTTTAAATGGTAATCAAATAACAATTTTTTATTCTTACAACGCGTTTTTTTCTCAGTGTAAAAATATAACGAATAATCAAAAATAATTACCAACATACATACTTCATTCTTAATTATTTCTTAATTGTTTCTAAGTACTTTGATTACTATTTATTTGAATATTTGAAACAAAATAGTTAATCATTAACATTTAAACAAACACCAAATCTTTTTTGTTATCCAAAATCAAAAATAAATAGTTTTAAAATTATTGGATTCTATAAATTTCTTTTTAAAGATATGAAAACAAAGGCAAATAAGCCATCACGAAAAATATTCTTTTGTGCATTTTCCTGTGTCCTTGACCTCAGACGCTATATTTCTCAATGCCGAACTCGTCATGTCTGTTCTACAGTAGTATTTAGTCGGTATAGTTCCATAAACATGTTTTTTTTTATAAATTCGACTAAAAAATTTAGGATGATGATTCAGCCTGTGAAACGATCAAGCTTATTGCAAAAAATTCCTCGCAATACTAATCTCACCTCATTCAGAAAACCGCAATATTATATCGCAGCGGTGTCACACGTGCGATACGCATGCGATATGATATCGCATCGGTGTCGCTGTCGTGCAAGTGTGCACAGTTATCATCGCTTCCTACCAATTACCACGTACCCAACATGTCGATGTCGCATCCATATCGTATTGCATCGCATATCGTATCGCACCAATGTGCACCGTGCCTTGGTGTTTGTGCGTAGAGGGCAAAGAGAAGGTTACATTTTTCGGTAGAAACGAAATCGGCATTTGCTTCATACGCACGCCTTTCAATTTCGGTTGGTCCCATACAAGTTGTATGTGCATGAAATTTTTTTTTACAGAAAATTGGCGTCGTGCGTGAATATTAGGTTAGCCTGTTACTACGAAGGTTGAACTCATATCAATAGGAAATAATAATTAGTAAACACGTGTTATCAGAATGGAGTGCATTAAAAGTAATAAGAACAAACACGATACATTTTTTTTTGGTTGGGTGCGAATATACATTCGATTGGTCGCTTGGTGAAACAGATTATTTTTTGTGGAGCGAATGAGAATTGAATTCTATTTCCCAAAATTTGAATGCATTTTTCATTTCCATGCATTTATTTTAGTAACAAGCGTGAATGGAAATGTTGTGGTAGATCAATTCGATCTAAATATAATGAAAACTTGAAGATCGGAGGCATATTTACATGATGCCAGAAAAATGAAAATTTATCGATTGGCAAAAGATTTAAAACTGACCTGGTACATCGGGATATACATCAAATGCAATTGTAGCGGTTAACCCCTTCAGTCGAGCAAATGCTGCGCTACGTCAGGCGAACACGTGCTACAAATTTCGTTCTGAACTTTTCATTCAGTTTCTTTTGTTTCTAAAAAGTGTTTTCTAAATTTTTCATTGTGATTATTTTTTTTCTGAAAAACAGAATTTCTGAATTTTTTTCGTCTGAATTCATGGGCGAATCCGATCTTTATATACCCGGCGCAGGTATCAAATATCGTCGTTTCAACTTGCTCTAAACTACATTTGCATGATAAGCAGGGGGGTTTTCCCCGATTTCAAACTTTTTCGATAATATGCTGACTTAGACTAGGGTTGCCAGACGTACTGCTTTTGGGAGTAAACGTACTCCTTTTATTGCATTGTACTCCCTTGTACTCCAAAAAAAAAAATATATGTGGAAATGTACTCCTTTATTAGTTTTGTACTTCTTTTGTACTCCTTTTTCCAGCTATTAATATTTTATCATATACAGGGTGTAAAATAATAACTGGTGCACAGCTTTTTTTTGAAAAATGAAAGGAACTTTTATAGATTTCGCGAAAAAATTAGTTTATTATTAATTATTCACAGATTTTACTTAATTTTTTTTAATTCGTTTTCAAATTTTAACCTTGATTTGGGTTTACCGGCGGTAAACACTTTGAGAGAAAAGCGCAGGTAAAAAAAGTAGTTTTTATTGTTAATTTTCCACACATTTTACTTAAATTTTATCAATTAGTTTTTAAATTTTAACTCATTTGGGTTTACCCTCGGGTTTGGGAGAAAAGGGCAAGCGGCACGCAGGTCTTTGTCGATAACTTTATAACATATCTTCTGTAACCATAGGCTAATTTCCACCATTTGGGTCCTTTATACTCCGTCTTTTGTCCAACATAAGGCCTCATACTCAGCAATCGAAAAGACTCGGAGGCTGCTCGCTTCTTGGGGCTGCCGTTAGTGGAACTCGACGACAACGACTGAGATATCAGCCGATCTCGGCGGGGTTGTGGTAGCCGCTACAACAACAACAACAACACGGAACTGGTGACTAGGAGGGCATTCATTCGACCAACCCTACACAGTTTTTTTTTTCTTTTTTTATACAAAGTCTAAGACAAAATACACACTAAAAACACGTGCGTGCCGCATGTACTTATCTCCCAAAACTGGCAAATGCAAATAAGGATTAAAATTTTAAAATAATAAAATTAAAGGGCTTAGGGATTATAACCCTTACTACGTAGAATTCTCCTTTCTGTGTTGCCGAGGAAGAGAGGAGGAACCCGCCTTTTTTGTCAAAAGTGTATAACACATCTTGTGGATATAACTCCGGCTTCGGTATCCACAGTATTTTTGCACTTAACTCCTTTCTGCGTAGGCGGCCTTCGGCCGTGCTTAGGGATTATAACCTTACTAAGTGGAATTAAAAAAATCACTCCTTTTTTATGTCTTGTACTGCTTTTTTTCTATCGAAAATATAAATGTACTTCTTTCTTCGTTTCAAAATCTGGCAACCCTAACTAAGACTTAATGAAATAATTGAACCAAGTTTGGTAGAAATCTATAAAGTGGTTACACCTTGTAGTCATAAAGTGGGCGGTGCAACGCCCAATTCCTAAAAGTCTATTGTAGTCTTATTTATTGCTAAGAGATTATTGTAGCTATTAATTTGGAGTAAATTAGCGTCTTCAGTTATTGAAATATCGGAGTTTTCGGATGTCTGAAATTTACCGTTATACGGGAAATGGGTGTAATCTTAGTCCGATTTGAATAATTTTCAACGAATTTTTTTCTTGTACTAAGGTTATTGAAACCTATTGGTAGAAATTATTGAGTTGGAGTCGGTTACCGAGATACACATTTGTGGTCATAAGGGGGCGGTGCCTCCCCATTATCCAAAAATTTATAATAATACAATTTTCTGCTAAGTGGTTATTGTAATTATCGATTTTGAGTCAATTAGCTTCAGTAGCTATTGATTTATCGCAGTTTTTGTGTATCTGTAAATTACCGTTATATGTGAGGTGGGCGTTGTTATTGCCCGATTTCAAAGATTTTCAAGAGATTTTTTAGCTAGGCCCTAGGCAGGGCTCGTTACGAGCTTGGTAAGGATACTGAGATACAGCACATCATCATAAGTGGGCGGGGTAGTGCCCATTTTCCAAAATTTTCCTAATAATACTATTTTTTTACCAGAATTATGTTTCATATACCAATTTTCAACAATTTTGATCCAGCATTTACTGAAATATGGTTTTTAAATTTTTCGAAAATGCCGTTATATGCGAAGTGGGCGTTTCAATACCAACCTACCTTGGATAAAGAGAAACCTACATACAAAATTTCGTCGAGATATCTCAATTTTTACTCGAGTACACGGACGGACGGACAGACATGGCTTAATCGACTTCTCTATTCATTCTGAGCATTTATGTATACATTTGTCTATAT